GTCACCTCCAATACAGGCGTTCTAGCACAGCACTGTGCTGGAACTCCTGTGACAGCTGAGAGGCGAAGGCAGCTCTCCCCTCTCACTGTTTACATGGAGCAAAGCGGAGAACGGACGTTCTCCGCACTGCTCACCGCTCTCCATCCTGAGGATCTTCGGCTGGCGAAGAGAGGTACGCGGAGGCGGGTGGATGGTGCTGGGAGGACGGAGCCAGTGACGAGAGAGATAGGAGCAGGGGGAGGACGGACCTGCAGTCTTATTACAAGTTATTGTGCCGAGATCACTTGTAAACAATCAAGTGACTTCCCCGCTCTACATTTACCCCTGCTTGGGGTAAATGTAGAAAAAAATCTTACCGCCTGGCGCCCGGAACTGCAATTCCCGGGTCTTCGGGAGATTCCATACCCCTGCCGCCCCTTCGCCTTGTGGCAAATCTGGCCTTGCCCCCGCCCTGCTGCCCCTCCTGTGGGCCCGAGACAGGCATGTCGGGTGTCGGCGGGGAAGGAGACCAGTGAATATCCATTCACTGATCTCCTCCCCACTGTATTGATCCCCTAATGTCACCTTAAAGGGTACCTGTCACTGCTAGTATGCTACCACATAGTGGGTTGAACAGTTTGGAGTACCGTATTTTGTCACCGTTTCCCACAATTTTTGACCTCAGCATGTGGGATCTCTATTTACTTTTCGGGCACTAAAATAACTTGTGTGACCTAAAAATTTCCAACCGCCACCATTTTATTCTACAGTGTCTTTGCTTTTAGAAAATATATAGGGGGTTATTCACAAAAGGGTGAAGGGTTTGGAGAAGGCAGGAAAATTGAACAATCTATGGGGGGTTTTTTTTTTAGACGCACTAACTTTTTTAAAGACTCCGTTTTAACTTCTGTGCTCAAGTACAGTGGTCTACTTTAATAGCATTTTTGAAGGGTTTTTTGAAATGTTAAAGGCAGCAGATTAATATTTTGGCCTTTTAATATAACAAATACAAACCGCATAGACACTGTATTTGGTAGTAAGGTTACAAGGAAGATTCTGGTATGTTGGTGGGAACTTAGCCATGTGTTGCTCCTCAGACACTGGTGGGATCTTAAAGAGTTTTTATTACACACCATAGAAGCACGAATATCTGCTTTTGTTTACTCTGAAATCCTTGTTTTTGGGTGTTTTTTTTTTTTTAAAACAAAAACCTTGTTGCTGTGTAATATTATGAACAGGGTTATCAAAATAGGCAACTTTGTTTTAAATATCTGTCAACGTTCTTGTAGGTGATCAAGGTGCGGGTGCTGGAGTGTGACCCTGAAAAAGAGACATTGATTCTGTCCTTCAGGATTATTGAAGAAAACGACAATGAAGATCAGGAAGACAGTACAGTATGGAGAAACCATTTAAATTGGCAAGAACCTGGAAAGGTATGATGGCTAAGTGTTTAAGTTGCCTTGCCTAAATTCTGGGGGTAGTCACTAGTTTTTAATCCTCGGAGAGTTCAGCTTTACTTTTACTGCCTGCAGACACTGTTACTTGAAGTGTATATTAACCTAATGTGAAAACTAGTTTTCTGTGAAAGTCACATTATACACACACACACACACACACACACACACACACACGTAGGAATTTAAAGGGTAATTCCACTTTAGAAGGTAAATTTGTGAAAATGAAATTATCGCCTCCAATCTCCCTTGGGAATCCCTTGAGATGATGTGCATGGTCACATGGGCGTGATTACGTTAAAATGTGTGACCACATGACCAGTCACAATCTTTGGTAGAACACCAGCAATTATCTAGAAGTATGTGTTTGTAGATTGTCTTTACAAAACACTGTGCCTCTGTTATTTTGAAGTACAGTTCCTCTTTACGCTAGGACACTTTTTTTTTTTGGCCATAATTTGTTGTCTTCAGCTCTTATTGTTGGAAACAACGATTGCTATAGATTGGTTAAATGAACCGTTTTGTCTCATTAGATTTGTATGTTTATGGATAACATGGCTTCATGTTTAACTCCTATAGGCTGAAAAGCACATCTGGCTCCGTGTTTTTCAGCAGATGTGCTCTGTAGACAGGAATGTTGTACAAGTGTGTTGGAAAAGTTTCTGATATTTTTCTTTCTTCTACCAGATAGTAGACGTGAGAATTGCAAGCAAGACCGATACGGAGTTGAAAGTATTAATTCTGCCTAAGGAGACCCCAGCAGTACTTCCCAAATTTCACCTCTCAGATCATATGGCCAACTGTGAGCTTCTCTTCCACTGTTTCAAGGAGGGTGACGAGCTAAGCCAAGTGATGTGTCTGAACAGCCCCAAAGGGCAAACTGTATCCTTTCATTGAAGCCTTTTTTGGGGGAAGGGGGACTACTCTCCAGTTACATTTTTGGCTACAAGCATTGCAATATTCAGCAAGAGGTATTTGGTAACAGACTCTCATTTAGATGGCCACCAGAATCACTTCTACTGTAAAGCCGACAGTCGGCTTTACAAGTTTAAACGGAGTCCCGGCAACTTCTGGTTTAAACAGCTCGGATGCCAGTGACGTACAGTGTAAAGAATGAGTTCAAAATGTTCCTGTACTTTGTACATATTAAAGTAACAGGTTCTCTTTTTAGGGGGCAAACAAAGCACCATGTACTTACTTTTCCTATGTTCTTGCACCCACCTGATCTACTCCCGGAGACCATAAAAACTACTTCATACATTTCAACTTTCAGAGAAAATTAACACCTAAACAGGGCTATGCATCCGCTGCCCCCATGTGACAACTTTTGGTCCTGGCAATTTGTCACTCAGCTACTGGACACAGTATTGACGGAGTCAGGGGGATTGTGACGTTCTCTCACATTTTAAAGTACAGATTAATTCTCTGGGTTCTGGTGGATAGGAAGCTATGCAAGGATGCTTATTTTTACCATCGTTTGCCTGTCCATTAGTATAGGTTTGCTTTAAGCAGGATTCAAGGTATTTATAGCATTGACTCTTCAAAGGCTACCTTTTATTGCCTAAAAATCCCTTAAATTTTATAATCTACCAAAATGTGAAAAAGAATTGCCTTTAAATACCATTACTGTAACGTACAAGTGCACTTTAGAAAAAATACCATAACTCCCAAGCCTAATTTTAAGCTAAAAACCCTAACTCAGGCCCTTGCTTACCTCTCTGTGATGGTGGCAGCCTACTGCGATGTTTACATCTCCTGGCCTGAAATTATCTCTGGTGCTGGCTGTGCGTGTTTTAGTAACTTCTCATAGACTTGAACAGAGCTGTTGTGCAGGTACGGCCAAAACAGAAGGTTGGCTGCAAATATAAATTTCTCTCCCGTTCATTGAAAGACACAGGGAACAGATCGGAGATCATGTACTGTAGGGTAATATCGCCACCTGCAGGAGAAGGACGCTAGGCACAAAAAAACTAAAGACCAATCACAGCCTAGGGGCGGCCCCTGCCGGTGGCCAAAAAGCGCAGCCTGTGCTTCTGCGCCCCTCTCCCAGTCTCCCTTGGTGTCTGCGGGGTCTTTGGGGGGGTCCGCTGGTGCACTGTTATCCTTGGAGGCTTTTTCCTCCACCATGGACGGTTTTGTGTCCCGTATGGAGCGCGTGCTGACGCAGCGCCCCCCACCGAAGCGCGCTTTGCCGGCCCCCTCATCTGTCCTTTTCTGGGGATTCTGAGGAAGAGGGGGAATTTTCTGCTGCAGCCGCGCAGCACGACCAGGGGGACTCCTCTCAGGCGGAGTCTGGTAGTGACGACGAGTCGGGGACCACCCTTATGGTCCAGGAGCGTGAATTGGTCACGGCCTTGGTTCGCGCTGTGCGCGAAACGCTGAAAATTGAAGAGACTCCAAGCTCTTCGGTGCTCCCGCCGGTTCCTTTTGGGACGCACAGGAGTAGGCGTTCTACTAAGGTTTTCCCTTACGTTCCTTTTTTTGATGATTTTGTCTACAAGGAGTGGAAGTGCCCGAGCAAGTCGTTTACCGTTCCCAAACGCTTCTCGGTTCGCTATCCTTTTGAGGAGTCCTTCCTGTCTAAGTGGTCTACTTCCCCCCGCGATGGATCCGCCGGTTTCTCGCCTGAACAAGGCTACGGTCATCCCGGTGGAGGATTCGCCTTCCTTTCGGGATCCCTCGGATAGGAAGGCGGAGGCGGTGGCGCGTACTATGTACTCGGTTTCCGGGGCTCTGCTGCGCCCCGTGTTGGCTTCGGCCCTGGTCTCCCAGACTTTGACTGAGTGGATGAAGATGCTGCGTCAGGGTCTTGCGGAGGAGAACGTGTCTCCTGCTTATGTCGATCTGACGGAGCAGGTGGTGCAGGGTCTGCAATACTTGTGTAATTCGGCCCTGGATGCGGCCCCGTTGGTTTCCAGGCTATCTGTGTCGGCGGTTACTCTTCGGCGCCTCCTCTGGCTTAAATGCTGGTCGGCTGACCAGGCTTCCAAGAAGGCTCTGACGGAGCTCCCCTTTACGGGGGAGCGTCTGTTCGGGGCTACCTTGGATGAGATCATTAAGGATCTGACGGGATCTGACTGCCTCAGTTGAAAAAGCCCAGGGACCAGCGGCGGAAGCCTGGTCCTTCCTTTTCCGCTCACAAGCGGCTTTTTCATCCGCCTCCGCCCTCTGAGAAGGGCGGGAAGTTCAACAGGCCGACACTTTCCCAGGCCGCCAAGCGGCCCTGGCAGCCTAGGAATGCCAAGCCCCAGGGTAAGCCCCCCTCGGAATGAAGACCTGCCCCCATCCCGGGATTCCAGGGTGGGGGGGACGTCTTCGGCTCTTTGTGGGCCGCTGGCTGTCCCGCGTCTCCGACACCTGGGTGCGGGAATTGGTGCCCTCGGGCTACAAGATCGAGTTTCTGTCGCGTCCCGAGGACAGGTTTTTCCCTGTCCTCGGTTTACGGTGCCAAAGAAGGATGGGGTTCGCCCCATCCTGGACCTCAAGCGGTTGAACGTCTTTGTGCGCGTTCGCCGGTTCCGGATGGAATCGATCCGCTCTGTGGTGGCGTGTCTTCACCAGGGGGATTTCATGGCCTCCCTCGACATCAAGGATGCCTACCTTCACGTTCCTAAGTGGATTTTCACTTTTTTAAGGTAAATATGTACATACTGTCCTTTTAACCACTTCACGACCCATGATGGGATAATTCCCTTATGAAATTTGAAGGGGTTGAATAGAAAGACGCCGGGAGTCTGTTCAGTTTTGTAGAGCTGCCAGATCACTTCTGCAATCTGGTAACCGGGGGCCGCCCCCCGCCGACACCCCTAGTTTCCTGTGCTCTGCTGCCCCTCCTACGGGCCCAGGACCGTCTTGCCAGGTATCGGCGGAAAGCTGGGGAGAAGATTTCCTCCCTGTACTGTGGGACTGGAAGCAAAGTGTATTGCCTCACTTCCGGTTCCATACCTGACGGTGCTGGGCTCCTGAACCTCAGCAATAAGCTATTGAAGTGTGATCTGCATTTCAATAGCTTGTTTCAAGTGTAAAGGTGGTACTAGGGGTCTTAAAGAGGACCGGTCACTGCCAATATGCATCACATGGGGGGCTTGTTAGCCCCCCATGTGATAGCAATTAAAGTAAAGTTTAAAAAATATAAAAAAATTTAGTCCCCATGCGAGCACGCACATGTAAACATGCGTCTGGTGCGCCTGCGTACAAAAACAACAATTGTGCCATGTTTGGTTTCGCCACACACGTCAGAGTGAGCGCAATAATTCTTTGGCCAATATTTATGCATATCTCTAAACTGATGACCTGTGGGGGCTTTTAAAGCGTCGTCTATGGACTTTTTGAGGTACTGAATTCTGTTGCAGTTTCACGGACGCACACAATTTTTAACCTGGGCGTGTTGGGTATCTATTTACTCGTAACCTCATCTTTGATATCTATAAAACAATTTGTTTGTAAGTGTTTTGGGGCACTAAATTTAAGTGCATTTTTCACAATATTTTGGGGTTTGATAAGTTGCGCTAATGTCGTGCAACATAAAAATTTGCAACTGCCACCATTGTATTCTATGGAGTCTTGGCTTTCAGGAAATATATAATGTTTGGGGGTTTTAAGTAATTTTCAGGCCTAATATGTGGATAACGTGTGCAAAACATGAAAAAAAAGCCCTGGTCCTTAAGGGGTTATTCTAATTTGCAGAGTTGACGGTGAGCTGTAATTTATTTTGTACATTAGTTGATATAGTTACCTTGGGTTCTCTAGACTCATGCCAGATGCTTTTTTCTTGGTCATTGTCTTGTAATGTAGTTCCAACACCAACAAGTGGCCCTGTAACGTTGAATCCTAAATGCTGCGACTTGCTCCTTTACCATCCTATGCAGATATTGACCAGAAAACCCACAATCATCTCCTTTGTGGAGGAGGGGTCTTCTGTAAAAGATTTCTCTGAAGTTCAGGTTGGAATGTTTCTCACTGGATTTGTCCGAAACATCATGTCCTATGGAGTGTTTGTGGAATTCTTAGGTGGACTGGTCGGACTGGCCCCCATCTCAGTAAGTAACAATTGTATGGTTTTCTTTTTCTTGTGCTCCTAAACCAACCAGCACACTCTTGTCAGGCCAAGTGTTCTTTCTAGTTATGCTAAGGATACTCTGTATTGCCTTGTGATTTTCTGCAAATGAGTTTCAGTATAATATCAAGATAGGGAGCCTATACATGCATTGGCAGATGCAGAATCATTTTTCATGACATTTATTATCTGCATTTCTGATGTGAACTATAAAAGAGTCAAGCAAAACAAATGGCAAACGCTCTCTTCAACTCATAACCATCTTCCAAGCAAGGTGCACATGGAAGGGCTTTATACAGTACAACAGCAAAACATTGCCAGGCACACAACAGCCAGCATGCAAAAAAAAAAAAAAAGGTTAAAAAACAGAGGTTTTAGACGCACGTCTTCTGCAGAATATGTGAAGGCCGCACCGCCTCGTCAAGGCCTCTGTGTAGTGCGGTCCTATCTCTAACCTGTGAGAGTCTCCATCTTGGAGCACATGTAGCAAAAGATAAATTTGGGTGCAGGTTCGCTAGGAGGCAGCCTTAAAGGCACAGGGACACCCAAGGGACCCCGCACATGAAAACGGCAGCTGAGACCCCCATTGTGTCACTGCACCAAATGAGTCAAGCAAAACAAGGACCGTACTACACAGAGGAGCCTTGACGATGCAGTGAGGCTTTCACATATTCTGCAGAATGACCAGGCAGCATGTGACGGCAGCAGTCCCCTCCTGCTCAAACTGTATTATTCGGCCTCTGTGATGCTGCCTTATGGATTCTATTTCTCAGCTAATCAAATATCTTCTGCTTCCCAGGGAACTCAAACTGGGTCCTGATTGTGCGCGTTTGGCAACAGCTCCACTTGGGTTCAGTTTTGTAAATCAGTCAATAGCTACACTGCAGTGTATTTCTGTAGGCATGACTTCTTTTTTTATTTTCTTTTTAGGAAGTCAGTAACACGTTTGTGACCGACCTCAATGACCATTTTGTACAAGGGCAGACTGTTGTTGCCAAGGTAACGAACGTCGATGAGCAAAAAAAACGCTTTCTGTTGACCCTAAAGATGTCCGAGTGCGCCTCTGATGACTGCTCAGCCGAGAACGTCTCAAGGATCAGGCAATGTTTCAATGAGCTGCAGTTTTCCAGGGACCTAATAAAAAAAACACATGGTGAGCTTTCTATATTCTCACTGAACAAATCTTTTATATCAACTATCTGCATTTCTTCAAACCACCTTCTTCCATCTGTCTTTTTCTAGGGCTGGTTTGAACCTGATTGCCTGTTTTTGGTGCAATACAGACCGTTTTCCCTCACTTCCATTCTGGTGGAATAGCTGTTGCTGTGACGGCAAGTGAGGGAAAATCTCTCTAATGGAGCACCTTTTGGACTACCCATAATCTAGGCCAAGGGTAACTAACCTCGGCACTCCAACTGTTGCAGAACTACAAGTCCCATGAGACATTGCGAGACTGACAGCCAAGGGCAGAGGCATGATGGCCTTTGTAGTGCCGAGTTTGCCCACACCTGATCTAGGGCAAATTCAAAGTTACATTCATTCCTGTAAGTTAGAGCAGCGGTTCCCAACCTTTTTGGCACCGGTTTCCTGTAAGAAATGTTTTCCCGGGAGGCGGGGGGAAGATGACCGGGCTGTTTCTGGTTGATTCAAGCACATTTTTTCTGCACTTCTTCTTTATTTCTATTACATTGTTATATATAATTAAATAATTTTACAACTCACCATAATGCAGAACCGGGGTCCGAAGAGTCTCTCGGACTGTACAGCAGTACAGTCGACGCAGCAGACGTGACTCACTCCTCAGATGGCCACTCGCTCCTCACTAGGGCCCAGAGGGCCGCCTCTGCCTGATTGTAGCCTATTTGCAGGGGCAGGCTTGAAGCGCGAGCTCCACATGCCCCTGCGTTAATCCGACCCTGGCCGAGGACAGGTTGCGGACAGGCAATGGATCCCTGCATTAGAGTACAGTTTACAGTTTATCTTAATCAATATATATATATATTGAACATCTTTTTTACATTTTTTTTAATGTAGCGAAGCTCATTCCTCTGAGACATCTGTTTTTTGTTTTCTGTCTAATAATTAGAAGAAGTGGATGAGGGAAAGACCGTCTTTTCTCTAGCACCAGGGAAAAAATTGATCCTCGTTGTTGAAAAATTAGAAGAAAACGGTTCAGTTCTGTTCAATCCTGGCAAAGTCCCTGGAGCCCAGATGATATCAGCTGTTCAACACAAGGACAAAGGTATTATTTTTTTGTTTTTTTCTCCTATATTGCAATTTACACATCAGTCGACAATTAAGCCTAGCTTAATACTGCTCAGCTTCTAGGGAAGCTTTTACTGTGGGGACACGAGATCTCGGTGATGACAAGGGCAGCTCTTGCCTTCAGTCCTGGTGAAGCAGGGTTCTGCTCATTCATGGGATAATTGGAAGCTGGTCAGTATTATGTAGGAACCAGCAGCTGTTTCCGGGTATCTGGTCACACACATTTCCTTTTGCAGCAAGACTCTAGAAAGTTGGCTACCAGCTTCAGTTTTTTAGGCACATTGCATTTGTTTTTGCTCGGCCCCATGCAAAAAAGGTTTGTCTACTAATGTTTTTTTTAAATGGCTTACGTTCCAGAAAAACCTTTAACTGTAGGACAGAAAGTCAAGGCTGTGGTTCTACATGTTGACATATTGAAGGCCCATGTTTATGTCTCTGTGGATGAAGCTTTGGTAAAGAAATGTAACGAAAATGTAAGTATTTTATTTCTCTCGCTGTGGAATTCTGTGCTAAAATTCCAAAGACATCTTAAAAGCTAACAAGTGAATGTTGATAGTTTGAATTATCTGCCTACTTATTATAGTTCTTGGGGATTACAGCGCCTAGATCTATGTGCCCAAGTTCCAGCATTTGGAGATCCTAACTTTGGTCTAAAATAGATTTGATACATTTTTTGGCATTGTTCATGAGTCCATTACATGCTGGAAAATTGTTAGCTGGCACATTCTCTGTCCTGGCTGTATATAAATGGTGTTTATATTGTCATTAAAACAGTTCTAACATTCATTATGGTGTGTAATATTTCAAGAAGCAATGGCAGCCCCAACATTTCTCTTGATACTGGTTTGCCTTAAAGATTTAGGGAGGGGCTGCATATGTTATGTTATGTTTGTTGCTACTGCTCTTATCCTTTAAAGATGAGCAGAGACAGATCTAAAAGGCTCCAATTTAATGCAGCTCTGTAATCATTAATACATCATTAAATGTATGTATGTAAATGCAAGCAGTGTAAACCCCCAAAAATTTCACCTGGTATCAGCCAATTTCAGTCCCTGTACAGCAGGGCTGGAGTGTGAGAGGACGAAGCATCAAATGGAGCCAATCAGTTCATGTGCTGACAAGAAGCATGCTCATAAGAGGAGAGTGCAGAGTAAAAGAAAGACAAGCTGATCACTGTGCTGCTTCTCCTTTCACTGTCCAATCAAATGCTGGGGCGCGTCCAGGATGACCTGGATTCTGAGGCAGTCATTTACAGGGTTATTCACAAAAGGGTGAAGGGTTTGGAGAAGGCAGGGCAAGTGAACAATCTAGGATAACAGGTGATTTGGAAAAATTCTCCAATTCAACTCACGTTCCAGCTCAGCTATGCTGTCCGACTGTTCACTCATCCTGCCTTCTCCAAACTCTTCGCCCTTTAGTGAACAACCATATAAGTGTCTGAGGACATCTAGTGGATAAAAGTATTGTGGGCACAATCTGTGGTTTGGAGGTGTATATTTAAGCAAAAGCTGGTTTTGTTATTTTATCTAATAATGGGCTGTTCAATTTTACCTCGTTGTTTTTGACTGTAGTTTTTAAAAATCTTAAAATCCACAATTTTATAGCAAAAGCTCAAGAAATGTAGTTTTAAAAACACAATGCTGCTGGCTCTTGTACAGTTTGATTTATACAAAATAAAGCACAAACTTTTTATTCCAGTTTGCAGAAAATTCAGTGCATTCCGCATTCGTACAGCATTTGTCAGAAGAATTTGCAGTCGTGTCTTTGAATGATACTTCGAACCTCGCGGCTGTCCCACTTAAGCGTCACTTTAATGACACTTTCCGGTTTAAGACAGAAAGGCTAAGTCTAGGACAGAAAATCTCAGTGACCATATTGTCGGGGGATGCCCATGAACACGGACTCCTATTGGCAGTGCAGAATTCCAGCTCAGGAAAGGAAAAGCTGCCAATGAACTTTGCGAAACGAACATCGTGTCTTGGAGAATTGATCACCGGGACTGTGAAAAGCATCAAGCCCACCAGTGTGTTGGTGTCAATTACAGATAAACTAATTGGCACCATCCATGCCTCTCAGATCATGGAGCATGTTCCTGCAGGTGTCATGCCTACATCCAAGCTGAGGCCTAAGCAGAGTGTGACTTGTCGTGTGATTGGAGGACGAGATGTCAAGACACACAGGTATGCTGTCTTCAGATTATTAATAAAGACATATGGGTAGATGAGTTCTATGTACCCTGATTAATATTTCTGTTTTGCATCTATCATGTGACAGGTTCCTTCCCATTTCTCACCCACACCTGATGCGGTCAATTCTAGAACTCAGTGTTCTTCCCAGGTAAGAGACCTTCTCGCCTATCTGTGCAGTGTTGTGTTTTGCATAAAGCAGCGTTTAAGTCCCATCTGTAACAAAATCTAAGTAGGACTATACTTTACAATGAAAAGAACTGCGAGCAGGCAGGATTTTTATTACAGAAGACACATTATTTGCCTCTTCTTTAATAAAAACCTTCTTACCTGGACGTTCGCAGTATTCTTTAGAATGTACACAGAGCTGCTCATGTGCAGTTCAGTGAACAATCTCCCATGTGTGTGTGTTACGTCAGCCCGGCTAATCAAGATGGATCTAGCAGGTGACTGGGCAAAGATGCCAGCAAGGCGAGGTGGATAGAGTTTAGCTTTTCATAAGTTCCAATTACATAGTATTTGAGGTTGAATAAAGACATTAGTCCATCAAGTCCAACCTATTAGGATCTCATTCTAGGAGTACCCGTACCCAATAAAATAAAATTTTTAGCCAATTGATGGCTAAGTAAATTAATAACCTCACTGCTGAATAGAAGACTTTACTCAGAAAAGATGCTGTAAGTGACACTGTGGGAAATGCTAGGTGCCTGGCTGTCAGACCGCCATACTTGGTCACTGTGCTTTAACAATGCAGATCAGCCCTTCATAATCTTTATTTTTTTTACTAGATGCAACTAGCATGCTCAGATAAAGGTCAGCAATGGGAGCTTCTGTATTTTTCTCAGTACGGTTTTTCTTTAAAAGTAACATGCAGTCTCTTCTGAAAAGACCATCACTCTAGCACTTTTTCCACCAAGACTCCTGGCCAGCATATAGTACGCCCTAGGTATTATGACTTCTTTATTTAGTGTAGTGTGACTTTACAGAGGGTTTTCATTGAGAGGCAGAGGAAATCGTGATGGGGTTTTTTGGGGGGTTTTTTTGTATTCACCATAGATGGACATGTGTTTCTAGTTGATATGACTTTCCCCTTGTTTATGCGTTTGTTTTTTCTTTCAGTCTTTTGAGTACTGAGGCGACAGTTGAAAAGCAAAAACCTCTGAAAATGTACTCATCAGGTGATGTGCTGACCTGCTATGTAGCCAAGGTAAATCTCTAACATGTCTATGAAGGTTTTCATTTCATCCAAGTCATGGTATAGCTAGTAGTAGTAGTTGCTCTTATAAAACTGGACTTGTTCTAGAACATTGAAGGCAATTCAGTTTCTTCCAGGGGGCCAAGTCTAATGAGCATTACAGTCCAGTTTGAATGTAACGGGCCACTACTAGCTTATTCTGCAATGTGTCAAAAATCCTTTACATGAGCCATTCTGTTTGGAATTCATTGCAGAAGAGCATTCTGTGATTATCTCTGTTTTGACATATGGAGTGTGTGTGTGTCTAGACACACACACACACGTGAGGTGCACCGAAATTTAATTTTTCAAAAATGAAACAAAATTAAAAAAAACAGACCGAAACTGTTTTTTTGCCTAAACTTTTTCCAATTGTAAAAAAATGTTTAATTGTTATTCCTGTCCATTCATAGCTTGTGGAGATAGTATGTTTTACCATGCCCACAATCATGAATGAACAGGAAGTGATGTTGATAAACCTACTCTGTCCTCGATTATTTACAATCACTCCACGATCACTGATCTCTGAATGTTTCTATACCTCCATCCTGACTTGTCACAGGAGGCTGTGTGCGGTGTGGGGAGGAGAGCTCTATCTCCTCTGACAGCTGATGTCTCTCCCGCACCACCAGCCCCGTCTCCTGTGACAGCTGTCTCCGCCCCCACACCGCCCCTCTCCTAATCTGTCACAGGAGGCTGAGCGGTGCTGAAGGACAGACGCCAGCTGCTCACAGCGCTCTCTTCCCCGCTCGACCTCCTGTGACAGTTTCCCTGCTCCCCACTGGGACACAGAGCAGCACCCAGTGGTGAGGAGAGAAACCACCACCAAAAGATTGCACTTTCGGCATTTTGCCAAACATGCCATTTTCGGCCGATGTGTTTTGGCAGAAGAAATTTCGGTGCATCCCTAACAAATATAGAAACTATATTTGTGTATGTGTATATACTTTTTTTTTTCTTTTCATGCACACTTTATATTCCCCCTCCCCCCACAATCTCACTGACATGCGTTTTAACCATAATAATCAGCATTTGTAACAGCTTGAGTTATTTGTCTCTCTTGGTCTGCGCAGTATATCAAGGAGAGTGAATGTCTAGAGGTGGAACTCTCTCCTGGGATTCGTGGCAAAGTAGAACGGCTGCTCCTAGCATCTTCTTTGAAGGTACGGACATCATAATTTTCTCTTTACGCTTTTGCAGCCAAATTGGGAGAACACTTGCTTTATATTTGTGAAATGTTCCCATTCGCATAACAGAACTTAAAATAAAATGCTGCTTACCATTTTACTTACTTTCAAATCTTAGCTTTCCCCTTCTATGTAATGTTATGGAGGAAGCTGGGGAGTTATGTTTGCCATAATTAACCATGTGTGTACTGTGCTTGTCTACACAGTAGCATCTTTTTTTAAACAATCGAAGCCTGTAGTGTCCTAATATATAAACCTGCTCAAAAGAAACAACTGTAAAGGCAAGAAATATATATATTTTCTAATTCATAGATGGGTATGCTGCGTGAATGGGAACACATAAATCTATAGCAGTCTTTCTCAAGTTTGACTACAAAGGTTGAAAGACACTTTCAGCCCATCTATTTACAGATAAGGAATCATTCGATCATCTTTTGTAGGTTTTGAGGCATCCAGAGAAACATTTCAAGAAAGGCCAGGCGCTGTCCGCCACTGTGGTTCACGTGGATGACTCTCGTAAAAAGCTTTCCTTGTCATTAACAGGTAATATACAGCTGTCTCTATGATAATTTGGTACATATACATCATCATTGCTGACACTTCATTGCTTCTCTGATTTGCTGCAAATGTAATTCATGCATAGTTTGTGCACATGCTGTGTATGTGCATAAATGTCTACCAAGTGATCAGTTTTATTTTCAATTCAGCGATCCACAATAGCCACACAATGAAAATTAAACTTCCCTTCAGTGCCTTTTGACTGGGATTGAGCGTTGCACGAAACGTTTTGAGGTTGCTGAATTCTATTTTTTGTATTAGCTGCTTCACCTTTGCAAGCAACATTTTTTAAAAGTTGGCTATATTGAATATGTTTGTAAGCTCTCTATATTCTAGTTTAACGACTTGGGGGTGGAATTTATCATAGCAATTGCGTGTGTTTGTACTTGCACGGAATATATTTGCACCAGATTTATGATGCTAGTGTAATGTTGTTGATAAATGAGGTTTAATAGACTCCAGGAAAGAAGACTTGTAACTTCTGGCAAAAAGCTTAACTGTCGCTTCTTGAAGAAGTGGTCATGGGGACTTCTTAAGTAGTGATTGTTTTCCTAGGTGATGCTCCAGTTTCAGACCGCCCAGAACAAGTGCAGATGAAAACAGGTGCAAAACACGTGCAGTTGGAAAAGTAGTGCAAGCTCTGGTGAAAACAGGGGCACATGTTAAAAGACAGATTTGCACATAAAAAAAAATGATCTAAGAGGCATTTGCTTTGATAAATCCCTCCCCCAGGTGTTTACACCCCCTTCCTGTCCAGGCCATTTTTCAGTATTCAGCGCTGCGGTACTTTGACATTTTTCTCTCCCGTTCATTGAAGGACACAGGGAACAGATCGGAGATCATGTACTGTAGGGTAATATCGCCACCTGCAGGAGAAGGACGCTAGGCACAAAAAACTAAAGACCAATTAAAGCCTAGGGGCGGCCCCTGCCGGTGGCCAAACCCCCCACCTACTGACAAGTCTCCAGTTTTTTATCAATCATGCAATGCTGTACTGAAATTAATTTTATACCATTTTTTGGGGGACAGATAGAGCTTTCGTTTGGTGGTATTTAATCGCCACTGGGGTTTTAATTTTTTACTATATTAAGGAAAAATTGCGTATCATTTTTTTTTTACATTAATTAAATCAATTATTATCACCCAATTTTTGGGTAGAATATAAAAGATGGGGTCACGTCGGGTAAATAGACACCAAACATGTCAAGCTTTAAAATTGTGCGCTATAGCCGGCGGATCGCTTGTATGTAAACAGGTATCGCTGCATGTTTTTTTACATTTTGGCAGTTTTCCGCTCTCGTGCGGGTGACAGGATGTTTAAAAACGCCCGCTCAGATCCAGGAAGCTACCAGCCGGCGTTTTTTTTACAACGGCTGGCCGAGAAGCGGTTAATTTTTTTATGTATTTTACTATAGATATACATGTTGGCGATCACCTGATGTAAATAACCTTGTCAGATATACATCAATGCAGTCATTTTGCTTGTTACATATGTAGTGTTACATGGTTGTTGGCGCTTTACTGCTTCTTACAATGCAAGTCTAGTGCGGGGCTGACATCTTTTCTTGGTAGTTGGGTAGAGTCACTAATAGTGACTGATGTTCCTGTCTTTTATGGCTAATTCATGCAGCTATACATTTAATGTGGTAACAAAATAGGGAGGAGTAAGTCAGTATCAGAAATTTCTTTTAGGTTATAATGTAGAATGTGTGATGAACATGCTGTATACTATACTTTTCTCTTGAATACAAATGTGTACAAGGGTATTGTGATAACTGTAAAAATAAATGTTGAAAACTGGACATGTGGTACTTACTGAAATACACATTTTTCTTTATAGACATCCACACTCTGACAGAGGGTTGTGTCACTTATGGCTGTGTGAAGAGTGTACTTCCCAGTTTAGGCCTACAGATAACCTTACCATTTGGAAAGACCGGGAGAGCTAATTTCTTTCAGTTAAACGACTGCTATGATGAGGTCTCCCTGGAGAAGTTCACCGTTGGAATGTTTGTAAGGTAGGCAAATGGTTTTGTTTTTGGGGTTTGTTTTTTTGTTAATACTGGTGCAAATTAAGTATTGCATGTTCGATAGGCCTATGAAAAGTCATTCAAGTTCAAATGCTCAGTACATGTTATTACTAGGAATGCACCGATACCAAGTTCGGTACATGTACAGATACTTTTCCAGCTCCAAGACTAGACTAGAGAAAAATTAAAAAGTTAGGAGGCAGCTGTCATTTGTAAGGATCATACGGAGCTCCTGGGATTTGTACATCTCTGTTTTAATGTATGATTTTGTTTTTATAAATATAAAGGGATGCAATAGATACCAGTTTTGCGAGTACAATTACTGGTACATTTTTGTTGTCCTGCGACAGTTTTCTAAAACAATACAGACTAATGATTTCAGGACAGTGGTGGAGCGCCAGAGCCAGGTCCCAGCTGCAACCATGGTAGTTCTCATGAAAATGCCTAGTATCGTATTACTACTGTGATAGCATCTAATGCAAGTAGGAGACAGTGCTGCGTCATTTGTAGCAGTTGCAGTTATGTATGGATCCAGGTGTTGGATAGGTATAGCTGAGGCTCCGCTCAAGGCAAAGTGATCAGTCCAAGTGGAGCCTTGGATGTGTCCAATCCAGATGTATGTGAGAAGCGCCACAAGAAATTTCTACATGAGGCCGACTGATTGCATTGAAAGAAAGCTAAGGCGAGACGCAATATTTTTTTTTGTGAGGCAACCTCTGAAAGTGGGCGACTTTTTTATATTATCCAAAATTATTGAGCAGTAAACAAATGGTCTACTGCTTTCTAGTATTTAAACTTTGTGTACAGAGGGAGTCCTCCTTCAAACTGGGCTGGGACAGAATAACTGTAAAGCGTATCTAAAGGAAAACAAATGTGTGTGAATGTCATTGTTTCGAATCGGTCCATAATTCAAGCAGACTTTCATATCATGAGTTCTTCATTTGTTCCCATGAGGAGAACATTAAAAAATCACTGTGAATTTAAGCCCAACTTTGATCATGTTCTCTTCATTTTTTAGGTGTTGCATACTCACTGTTGGAAGTAAAATAGATGTGTCCCTAAGAGAATCTCGGTAAGTGGTCGATTTCTGCATTGGCGTCCTTAGCACATTGTTAGTAATGCCATATTAAACCACATTATGATACATTGGTTGGTAATTTGAAATTGTTACCCCCCCCCCCTTTTAAATCCACCAAAGATACTTGTCTTTCCACTCCTACCCACAAGGTGGTTTTACGGCTGGCGGCCTTATCCTATAAACAACCTGTCTGGTCTTGCACAAGTCAAGGTGGTATTGAGGCCCAGATCTTCCTTCAGTTTCAACCTCTCACCATCTGCCCCTTGGTTCAGCTCCAGTGCATCAGAAGGAGATTTCCCTTTGTGTGGGTAGGGTAGTGCTGCAAAACTGAGTCATGCTGGTTGTAGGAGGGTTGTCCAATCCTCCTGTAGACATCAGTATAACCTGATGGTGTAACACTTCTGTGTCCTTTTTTAATGGGATTTAAGAAAAGGATTTTAAGGTAAATACAAATGTATTTTGATATTGACTAGATATTGGGATGGATCAGTTTATGTGTGCAGTACTTCAATCAGTGAATATTGATGCATGTTTACTTTTTTGAGTAACCTTGAATTTCATATTCTTCTCATCTCACAGAACAAATCCTAAAAGTGTCAGCAAACAGATAGATGAAGACATTCCTTCTATTGACTGTCTGAAGGAAGGGCAGCTCGTTAAAGGTTTTGTCAGTGGAATTACAGCGAAAGGAGTGTTTTTGAAGTATGTATATACAGGTTGTTTAGTCATGTGGCTTCATGTATGTGCATGACAAAAGACTGACCATATTACTGTGCTCTTACTACAGGATATCCAGCTCAACTGATGGTCATATTTTGTTCAAGAATATTACCTCTTATTATGTTAAAGATCTAGAGATGTATAAGCCGCACATTTTTGAAGGAAAGTTGCTTACTGCCAAGGTTATTTCGTAAGTTGTTTCCTTTATACTTTTATAGAAATTATGGGAATAAGAGGGTGGGTGTACCCCATGTCTTGCAGCCTATGGTGGAATTATTCCAATGCAAGGGAAGACTTAAAGCCGAATTCCAGCCAGAGGCAAATACATCCTGAAATGTATCTCTCACCTTTATCTTGCTGAAATCATTCAGATTTTTCTATGCAGCTTGCTTCAGTATGCCTTTTACATGGTGACAAAGAGCTCATTTCCTGTACAGAAGACCATGTAACAGAGACCCCGGTCCGAACCCGCTGCACGTCAATAACATGTGACTATACGCAGTTCCAAACCGAACGTACCGTCACAAGGACGTGGCGATACCACTCCCAGCCTCACCCTGCACAGAGATTTCACAGCTCGCAGGACAACATTCTGAGCCTAGCAGACTGAGGGCGATCATTACTAGGGTTGTTTAACTCTCCAGTTAACCCTTTAAACACCCAAATAGTAGCTGCCGCTATATGTTTTAATGGAAACGTGCACCATTCTCGGCAAATGCTGTGACAATTCAAAACTTAAATCCTATGATACCACTGTACTTTAAGACGGGAATGTGACAGATTTCACTATACAGTAGCACTCTTCACGGAGGCTTGAAAAAAAAAGAAACGGTGCAGAAAAAATATACATAAAAAGAGTCGGAAATAAGAGTAAAATAAAAAAGAATAAAAAAAAGAGACCTGGGTTTTGTAAGTTCTGACCGAGTCCAATTCAATGCAGCGAAAGATGGATCTGAATGGCTGTTTCTCCAAGTAAGGCTTGCAAAGATTCTTTCTTGATGCTAAAGGGGAACACTTCTTGGATGTCACACAAACCTCTCCTTCGTATGTTACGAGGGCCTCCTCAGCTGCCCCTCCAAACATATGCAGTACATCTCTGCAACACATGCACATTTCCCCATTCTTTATACCTTTAAAGACCCTGCAAGTACAGACAAATGCCTATTGATCTGCCAGAAATGCACTCAACTTAAATCTTGTGTGCTGGCAACATATAGCTTTTTTTGTGTACTGAGGAATGTCACCCCTCTGTGTCTGTTGTATCTGGTCTGTCAAACTCAACCACTTCCACTCTCAGACCTACACAACATAAAGGCTAATCATTTTGTAGTCCAAAAAAGAACTAGGAGCTCTTTGAGATAAGAGGACGTGTGCAGAGGACACCTCCTGTATTTCTGTCCAGATCAACGGGTTTGTTTGCACTTCTCTAACCGATATAGCAAACACTTCCAGTTGTATATTTAGTAGAACAAAAGAGAGTAAGGAGTTGGGGTTTACATACACGTTAAAGTTCAACATCAGCAAAATACCCAGCTGCTAATCTAGGGGCTTCAGTACTTTTTTTTTAGTTCCAAGTCTGGAATAAATATTCATATTAAAGTTATGATTTTCCTGATCTGCATATTTGCTCTCGGTCAGTGTCAAGGAGGCCAAACAGCCAGACAAGTAGCATTTTCAGGAGAAGGTCAGCAATGGCAGCCTTTCTATTTTGACATACAAGTTCACTTTAACAAGCGGATCATTTGGGTAGGGGAAAAAAAAATGGATGTTCAAGTTTTCAGCCTATAGCAGCCCATATGACTCCCCCTAAGAACTAATGAGTACAGTAACATGTTGCTGTGCACTTACAGCTAATTTAAGTAGGGATGCACTGATACTAGTATCGGTGCTGAGTATTTGGGCGAGTACTCATATTCGCCCAAATACTCCGATGCCTAGCCCGATACTTCCAGTATCAGGAAGCCGGCTCCATGCTCTCTCGTCACTAGTGTCGGTGCATCCCTAAATTTAAGCAACCGAACCCAGCCCTAATTGCTCAAATGCTCATTTAAGAAATCTCAGTATACCTGCTGGAAAATGATTTTTAAATATTCAGTCCAGGTTATTCTGGAGCTCACATTATAGGATCAGATTCTAAAGACACCATGTCTTATTGGAGAGTAGCCACTAGGGTAGATTACTCGTTTAGGCATCCATTGTTTGTAATGTGCCTTTTTTTTTTCTCTCTCTCTCTTTTTAGCATAGATAAAGAGGAGAATCACTTAGAGCTGTCACTTCTTTCTAAGGATACTGGAAATCCTGATATTATTCCAGAGTCTGCTGGCTTCACCTTAAGGTGCAAGAAGGGAGATAAAAACAAGAGAAGACGGACAGACACTGAAAGTGAAGACAAGGTATTGTGTATGAATGGTGATGTAGCACATGTGACCCACAGAGGGTGACTCCGTAGAGAAAGGCTTTCAGTGCTCCTGACACAAACCGGCACTGTTCTAGATGACTGCTTTGTAATGCATAGTATTAAACTGAGTGTCTGCCTGTATTTTCTGCAAAGTTCAACACAGCTGCACTCTGTGACCGGCTGTGAGTGTTCAGAGTATATGAATGATTGGCCAGTTTTATTGAATCAGATTGAACACTAAAGCGCAGAGAGGTAGTAACATTTATCTTAGTTTCTACATACACAGTTGAATACTGCAGCCAATTAAATGTTTGTGTTGTTTTTTTATGAATAAAAGAGCGACAAAAAGAAAAATATGACCAGTTATGGGCAACATTTAAACTAAAACGTCATTTAATAAAGCTGCCAAACACTTAATCACACCAATGGTGCACTGCTGTTCCACTTTGTGGCTATAAAGTATTGTCTTTTAGTTACTGGTTTGAGTAAGAGGTAAAATAAAATCATCCCTCAATAACTCTTTTTATACTTGCCAATTGTTAGATCCCTAACAAGAAGAAATCCCGGCAGTCACAGGATGATGAAGACAGTGGAGTTGAGGTTCATTACCGAGAACAGGAGACGGAAAATGAGGTTAAGGTTAGCGAATAGTATTTATCATAATTTCATCATAAATATTGTCGTTATTTCTAATATTTTGTTTTCTAAAGGTTTGTTGTTGCTATTAAGCACCTTGTTGTTTACTGTTATTGCTAATTTTTATTTATCTTTATTGTTTTTTGTTTTTAAAAGTTTAGCTACCATCCTGTCTGTCAGATTCATACATTGGTGGATTGTTTCAGTTTGACTTGCGTATTATTGTTCTGACATCCTTCACTTTTATTATTGCCCATATTAGGCAGCATTAGCTCAGCAATGGTGGGTTACTGTCAGGAGTTTGTACATTCATGATTATTATCCTGTTACTAGCGGAGAGTAATCATCATATGGGTCTGTAAACATTGTAGTTAAGTGCAAGGTCTGTTTGAGGTCTGGGCCCTTCACTTATAGAAATCACTGCCTAATATTACTTAACATATGTTATAAAGTTAGATTACATACTCGCCTTAGTCCCATCTTCCACCAACGGCAACCAAATGAAGGTGACTTTGCACTCCTTCTGGTGAGATCCCAGGGAATGCAGAGCAGCCTGGGTCTCAGGAGAAGACATCTTCTGGTGAGATCTGGGGTTCTTTTGGGTGTCTTTTAGAAATTTGTGGCATCAAAAGTGCACCATCCTATACTTTTTAAAAGTAGGAAAGAAATGCAAAGCTATGATTTTACAATTCTAATGTTCTTGTGGAAAAAGAGGCAAATACACCATGTTTATCAGCTTTGCTTGCAAAATAAAATGTTGGATTTTTTTTGTGAATGTTTTGTTTGATTTTTTTTTTTTTTTGTGTGTACCATAGAAAGAAGCTGGCAGTAAGTCTCCCCCACCTCGGCTGCAGGTTTCCTCCGGCTTTTCTTGGGACGTCAGTCTAAATACTCTCAAAACTCCTTTAACCGATGGAAAGGAAAGCCGCTCAGACAGTGAGGAAGATGAAGAGGAGCGCCCCAAGGTACAGAAGGTTTATTTAATCTATGCATTGACAGGTCTTGGATATTGAGTTATCATTTCATATTTCAACTGGTTATTGTTTTTTCCTTTTTGCTTTTTTTTATTATACATTCTTTGAAGTCTGTTTTCCTAAAGCATTTTCACTAGTTTTTGTGCTTTGCAAGTTTCTCACCAGTTTGACAGTAGTGGCAGCCATTGGGTGGACCGGCTTGTTTCCCAGAATTTTAGCTTTACAAAGTGCTGGTGATATCATTGTACCTGTTAACTTCAACCATTTGATTAGCGTGAGATAATAGCAGACGGTAGTAGCCCCACTTTTGCAATGAAATTTGAGAGAACCCCATTATTTGCATAGGTGTTACAATATACACAGCTTACCTAGACTTTATTCTTGCCTTTCTAGTTGTTTCTTTGAAACGGACCATTGGGCAAACTGCGGGTTACTCTGAACAAATTTAAAAGTGAAACTGGAGGGGGACAAAGCATGGACAGGCTCAGTTTCCTCTCATATGACACATAATGCAGAACACAAGCCCTGATATCTTCAACCCTTTGTTAGGACAGATAGTGTTCAAATCTAGTTTACAACTGATACTGAGATCTATCAGGATAATACAGACAGGATTGATTATGGTAAAACATTAACTCCCCAGTTATGCAGTGTAACTGGTAACATGTAACAAATATAAAGTAGGTGTTATCCCAATTTGGCTGCAAAAGTAACTATTTTTCTGCTAATAATATAGTTGTATACAAGTGACTTGTATAAATTGAGTGTTTTGTCACCATGCGGCATAGACATATCTGCAAAACTTGGCATACATGTTCTTCTTTCATTGTGATGATTTGTAGGTCTTGTGAGCCAACTCCAACAACTTTAATAGCTTTCTCCTGGTTTTTAAATGGGCTCGCCATCTTTCAGTACAAAATTGGCCGATCATTTGTGATACAAGTGTTATTGCTGTGAGATATGATGTGAATTACACACTTGGTACCCAGTTGATATTATCTGGAGTATCTATGCAATCTTCGTGTCCTCACTGAGATGACCTAAAGCTTTAACTTATTTCTGATTTGGGAAATAACACTGATCTGTGAAGCACGGATTACTAAAAACTGAATACAGAAGCTACATTGTTCTTTTTTAACTGCCTGCCCGCCGACATGCATAAATACATAAACCCTGAGACTTGGTTACAGTAATCGATTTCAGTAAAACTTGTGTCCTGCAGGACTCGGCTCTTTTACCTTTTTAATTGTTCGCACTGAACAGGCTAATGTTAGAGTGGTGGATGCCGGTGTGGTATTTTGTCTGCTTGGTAATGCTAATTGTATTTATAAAGACATTGTTCAGTATAATAAAGTATTTACTGTGAAAACTGCTTGCATGCACATTTCAGAAAAAGAGCAGCCAGACAAAACAGGAAAAAGTGAAGAAACAAGCTGGAAAAGATGCCACAGATACAAGTCAGGAACCAAAGTCCGTTAATGAATTTGAACGCCTCGTCATTGGCTCGCCTAACATCTCTGCTAACTGGATTCAATACATGGATTTCCACCTCCAGGCCACAGAGCTGGAGCAAGCACGAGCTGTGGCAGAAAGAGCGCTGCAGACTATTTACTTCAGGTGATGCGATCACAAGTAAAATATACTTTCATTGCCTGAGTAGGTAACATAAACAGAGCCTCATGGAACCCATTCTCTAGCACTTCTGTTCTTACAATCCTTTATTATTAGGAGGGAGGATACCTGCTGTAGCTATAAAGTGCAGACAGCTTGAGGTGGCCTCCATACCCATAGCAGCCTGTTCTTGTGGCATAAAAATGATCCCTGTTCAGAGTTTGGATAGCCATAGATGGGGCAGATGTTCCCCTGAGAAGGATAGTCTGGGTGATATCCATCCATCATTTGCAACACCAGGACCCTCTGCTGTTACCTGTGCTACATGCTTGACCACCTTAATTCCACAAATATCACTATCCTTACTCCTAAGAAAAGGGAAGGATCAGCCAGCTTAAACTGTGATTTCCCAGCAAGTTGTAAAATCTCTGGGAGTGTATGTCTAATGTGCATTGTCTAATGTCGAATGTCAAGTGTTCATTGTTGTCTCTTACGAGTACCTCCATAAAGAGCTTAATATTTGGTCAGGATCATGCATTTCTGGCCATCCTTTCTTAATGTGGAGGCATGGGAGGGATTCTGTAAGATATTTGTAAACCTTTTAGCTTCTACACTTAAACAGATGCCTTTAGCAGATGAGAAAAAAGCTGATGGAGAAGATGAGATGGTCGTTTGGAACCATCTTCAACTCAAGCAGAGAGGGCAAATGCAAGAAAACACATGTAATAGAACATGTTTAAACCTTTTGTTTGGCAAGTGCAAAAAATACCTGTTGATCTTGTCAGAAATTCAAAGCTGTCCTGTGGCCGGAGCTCCCTTGTGTTTTTCTCTAGGGATGCACAGATACTTTTTGAGTACCAGTGCAGATACTTGGCATTTTCATGAGAACTACCAGGGTTGCAGCGGTTGCAGCTGGGACCTGGCTCTGGCACTCCACCACTGTCCTGAAATCATCAGTCTGTATTGTTTTAGAAAAACTGTCACATGATAATAAGCAAAAATGTATCAGTACTCGCAAAACTGGTATCGGTGCATCCCTTTATATTTATAAAAACAAAATCGTACATTAAAGCAGAGATGCACAAATCCCAGAAGCTCCGTGTGCTCCTTACAAATGACAGCTGCCTCCTAATTTTTGAATTTTCTCTAGTGTAGTCTTGGAGGTCAAAAGTATCGGTACATGTACTCGTACCGATTACTGTACTTGGTATATGTGCAACCCTAGTTTTCTCAGTCTATTTAGCTCTCCTAGTTCTTAGGAATACAAGTTAATTAATGCCAATGTTTTGGAAATAAACACAGTGGGAGTGGATGAATAGTTTAGCAAATGAAAACTGGGCAGGGCTGACACCACAAAAATGCTGTGTTTTGTCAGTCGACAACAGGAGGAGCGGAGTGCATTTGTGGCATATTAATAGGTATTTTCTGTACTTGCAGGGTCTTTAAAGGAATAAAACATGGGCAAATACACATGTATTGGAGAGATGTACTGCATGTGTGTTTTTTTAATTTAAATGTATTTTGCCCTGATATACACTTGAATATACTAACCCATTGTGCTTGCAGGGAGGAGCAGGAAAAGCTTAATGTATGGGTGGCCATGCTGAACATGGAAAATACATATGGCACAGAAGAGACCTTACTGAAGGTGTTTGAACGAGCCGTTCAGTACAACGATCCATTAAAAGCATTCCAGCACTTTGTGGACATTTACATAAAGTCAGAAAAGTTTAAGGTAAAACATTTTTCCTCAAAACACAAGGACTGAACTTGCATGAAAATGATGTTTTGCTAAGCTTTCGTGTCCAATGCTAACATATTCCTAGTGCCCTGCAGAAATTTGTGACTGTCAATGGAAAGGCAGATGTGTCTCTGGTTTATGGGTTGTAATGGACAGCCTGGCAATATCTGCCTGCATTGTGAGGTGCAAGATGGTGGCACCTTGTTGGGGGGGGGGGTCTCTGAAGGCAGACTTTTTATTAACTGATTATGCATTATTTCATTTATTTTTTAGCAGTGGTTTCTGTAAACCCTAAATAAAATATCAGTTCTGATTAATTGCACTTGAAGACAACCTCTTCACTTGTGGTAAATAACATTTTCCTGTTTTAAGGAGGCAGGTGAGCTGTTCAACACAATGATAAAGCGATTCAAACAGGAAAAGTCTGTGTATTGGAAATATGCCACGTTTCTTCTTAAGCAAGGCCAGTCAGAGTCTGCTCATCGCCTATTGCAGCGGGCACTGAAATGTGTTCCAGAAAAAGAGCGTGAGTATTAACGTCTTATTAATGATATTCAATGATCATTTACCAATGTCTTGTGTAGGTGAATATTTTTTTTAAAAAGAGCGACATATGTAGCCCTAGCATGTTTGTAGTAATATCTTTCATTCAGCACCTGGGTCATGTGTGCATAGTTGATTGCGATAGGGCAACAACAACTAAGCGATAATGAGAATCGTTGTCAACGATTCTCATGATCAATTAGTTGATTCTGCGATTAGTTGATTGTGCCCCTGCTGTGCCTTTGTTTCTCTGTGCCCCCCCAAGCTTCCCTGTGCTCCTCTTTTCCTTTCCCCTTCTCCCCGCTGTGCCTTCGATGGTTCCCCTACTGCGCCTCTGATGCGTGTCTGCTCCCCTTACTGTGCTCCCGGCGGGTGGGAGCAACAGCCAGCCTGCTATTGGTTATTGCAATGGCAGGGTGGCTATTGCACCCGTCTGCTGTCAATCAGCAAAGGAGCATACCTGAAGGAGAGCTTTCTCCTTCAGTTTCCTCCTCTGCTGATTGACAACAGGCAGTGGGTGGGTGCAATAGCCAGCCTGCTATTGCAATTTGCTCCCAGCCACTACCTACCGTGTTTACATTCAGTTGGCTCAGCAGGCAGCTGTCATTCCCCAGCTATAACTATTGAAGTGGAAAGGTGATGAACGCGTGCATACTAACTGAAACAGAAGTCGGGTTCACCTAGATTGCCAACTAATGTCTGTAGGCTGCTTTAAATCTGCATTGGGTAAATGACAGTTAATAAAAGTCCATTATTTGTTTATATTAGGGTATGAATAATTTATATCTACATTTGCTTCTTGGCAGTTTCAATCACACTTATCAGAGGTAGAATTTGACATTCTTTTATTTAGAGCTGTATATTACCCATCATTAAATCTTAAATAATTCTATTGTTTGAGTTCTTTCTTCACTCGTTGACATATTGGACCGGGAACTGACAGACTGACTATCATAATATTCTAATAGCTTTTTGTTACATATGAACCACATTTACAGTCCATATGGTAATGTTCTATAAGTGGCTTTTTAGTTGAGCTGTTTCAGAGAAGAACTTTTTTTTTTTTTTAATAATTTTTTCCTCCCCTTTTTTTAGATGTTGATTTAATTTCAAAGTTTGCCCAGTTAGAGTTCAACCTGGGTGATCCTGTGCGAGCCAAGGCTTTGTTTGAAAGCACACTGAGCAGCTATCCAAAACGAACAGACATCTGGTCTGTATATATCGACATGATGGTAAAGCATGAAAACCAAAAAGAAATCAGGTAAGTGGAGAATACGTTGTATTATTTTTGCCAAGAACTTTAATGGCATCCCAGTCTTAGTCCGTAGGGTTCAATATTGAGTTGGCTGTCCACAAGGTTTAGGAGTGTGTCTATGGGAATGTTTGACCATTCTTCCAGAAGCGCATTTGTGAAGTCAGGTACTGATGTTGGACGAGAAAGCCTGGCTCACAGTCTCCACTCTAATTCATCCCAAAGGTGTTCTATCGGGTTGAAGTCAGGACTCTGTGCAGGCCAGTCAAGTTCCTCCACCCCAAACTCGCTCATCCATGTCTTTATGGACCTTGCTTTGTGCACTGGTGCACAGTCATGTTGGAACAGGAGGGGGCCATCCCCAAACTGTTCCCACAAAGTTGGGAGCATGAAATTGTCCAAAATGTCTTGGTATGCTGATGCCTTAAGCGTTCCCTTCACTGGAACTAAGGGGCCAAGCCCAACCCCTGAAAAACAACCCCACACCATAATCCCCCTTCACCAAACTTTACACTTGGCACAATGCAGTCAGGCAAGTACCGTTCCCCTGCCAACCACCAAACCCAGACATATCCATCGGATTGCCAGACAGAGAAGCGTGATTAGTCACTCCAGAGAACACGTCTCCTCTTCTCTAGAGTCCAGTGGCAGCGTGCTTTACACCACTGCATCCGACGCTTTGCATTGCACTTGGTGATATAAGGTTTGGATGCAGCTGCTCGGCCATGGAAACCCATTCCATGAAGCTCTCTACGCACTGTTGTACTAATCTGAAGGCCACCCGAAGTTTGGAGGTCTGTAGCTATTGACTCCGCAGACAGTTGGAAACTTTTGCGCACTGTGCGCTTCAGCATGCGCTTACCCCCCTCTGTCATTTTACGTGGCCTACCACTTCATGGCTGAGTTGCTGTTTCCAGTTGCTTCCACTTTGTTATAATACCGCTAACAGGTGACCGTGGAATATTTAGTACCAAGGAAACTTCACGGATGGACTTATTACACAGGTGGCAATCTATCACGGTACCACACTTGAATTCGCTGAGCTCCTGAGAGCGATCCGTTCTTTCACAAATGTTTGTAGAAGTGTCTGCATGCCGAGGTGCTTGATTTTATACACCGGTGGCCCTGTAGGTGATTGGAACAGCTGAAACCAATGATTTGGAGGGGTGTCCCAATACTTTTGGAACATCTGTGTTCTGCTGTAGAAGCCAGCTCACAGTATGCTGCAGATGTCTACAGTTAGGCCTGCTGACACTGTGATTGGACAATTTTATAGCCTTTCTACTATCCAGCAGGTACACTTCTGATAACAAAAAAATACCACTGTTACATTGCAAAAATCACCTTTTTATTGTCTTCTGAAATGAAGCCTTTAAGAGGTTGTTCGCACCAAATGCAGACCAGATCTGCAGGAGTTTATGCACACGCAGTGCAGTGTTTTTTGCCACGTTTTTGTAAAAAATATGTGTAAAATGGGCTTTCAGTGTGTTCCAGTGCGTTTGCGATGTGTTTGCATGCGTTCCAGAGCAGGTAAAATAGGGCTTGCTGCAGTTTTTTTTTTTTTACATGCTCTGAAACTGAACGCTGCAGTGTGAACCAAAGGCCAAAATACCATTGGAATACATTAGACACAGTATTGATCCGGTCTGTAACTGCTCTGCTCCTGGAACGCGCTTGGTGTGAACAAGCCCTTACAAGAATCTTGCAGATGTTTTAATAGGATATCTGTTTTTTTTTAGATCAGTCCAGCCAAAGCTAGTATTTTGGTAAATATTGGAGAATTAAACCACCTGAAAATTCAGTCAATCAGAAAAAAAAATAAAAAAATCAGGGGCTCCAAAAGCTATATTTGCACTTGAGTTCCTGGGTCTACATCTGCTGTGGCCAATTTAAGGGGTACCCACTCTCATTGTTGGACTTTGTATTTATTTTATACTGTGCAAAATGCTACAGGCCGGGTGTGGCAACAACCAAAAATCCCAAGTTGACACATAGCGTCAGAAATTATGGTACAGAGGCCTTGATGTTTAAGTATCTTGGACACATATTCTTAGCGAAGGGCTAACTTGGGCCACAAGATGCCATTCTACCTAAAAGTAGGTTGATAGATGTATTGATCATCAAACAAGTACCACTTACATAATCTCTTATGCCAATCTAATTTTTGTACACTATTTCTTTGCAGAGAGATATTTGAGCGCGTTATCCACCTCAGTTTGGCAGCAAAAAAGATCAAATTTTTCTTCAAGCGTTATCTAGAGTATGAGAAGAAACACGGCAATGAGAAGACCGTTCAGGCTGTGAAGGAGAAGGCTCTTCAATACGTCGAATCGAAGAGTTCTGTGGACACAAGCTAGAGCTATCTGCACTAAAGGACTCTTTACTAACATTGTACAGATGTGGAAAATAGCACATGCGCATTTTATACAATCCTCCCTGAGAGACTTGTTTGTGTGGCTGTGTAAATCACATGGCTTTTTATATAACCGCTTCCTTTAGGCTTTTTTCTGTCTGTAAGAAATAATGAAATTCAGATGTTCCACATTAGAACTTCAGAAGCCACGCAGAGGAAAAAGCCAAGAGTCAATTTCCAGGATGAAGAACTTTTATTGTATTATCACTGGCGTTTTGTACATTGCTGATTTCTGTTTCAGATGTCACAATAAATAAATGCCATGACTTCAGATATACCTTGTGAAGTAAGTACACTGAAAGTTTAAGAAATGTCCAATGAAAACATCAAAATAAGTTTGCAGATAGCTTTTGTAGACAGGCTAAATTTTTTCCCCAGCAGTCTCAGTCCTGGAAAGGTTAAAGCCACCCACTTGTTTCTAGAAAGTCTTCCTATGTCCTATGCTGACCAGATGAGAGAGATCCCCTTGCCACACAAAGTTGGGGGGGGAGAATAACTCATCTAGTGCACATTAAATTAGTTTTAATAAGGCCTTTTCGTACCAGCACACTGGGAAAATTAGCATATGGAGTTTTCCATAAAAGCAGCATATAAATTCTGATGTAAACAATCCCTAAATGTGATAAGTATGGAGACAAAAAAAAAACAATGCAACACAAATGGCTGAACTGTGGGTTTAGAAATGTTCTGTAGTACCTGTATTCTGAACTTGGAGCACTGTATATACAAAATACGTTAACAGAAAAACTGGCAGCTTCCTTATGATTTTGTACATTACTTCATCTGCAGAATTATTATCTATAATGAGACTAATCAGATCCAAACAGAAAACCTGGCAATCCTTTCTATGCACTGTTCTCTCTCCCTGCTCATCTACTTGCTAGAACTTTCTGAAAGAAAATAACAATACGTTGGCCTCACATTTTGTTCCCTGGGCAGCCTATCCAATTAAAGGAAAACTCTTCTGCAATATGTAGCCTGCCATTGTTGGATTGCTCCCGAAATGCAAGTTGCTTGTACTAAGAAGAAGCATAAAAGCCTGTTAACAGCGGGGCGGTTCGGCCGTGGGGATAAACTTGCAATTTTTGAGAATGACCAGTTGACACTGACAGCTCCAATCCCCACTAATGATGGGGAACCAATCGGAGCAGTTCCCAACCATGTGATTGCTGTGTCAGCTATGACCTAGTGACCACATGCAGGCTGGAGAATCCATTGGCCTTATAAGCCTGCAGATGCTACTACAGCCTGAGGGTAGCATTGTTCATCCTTAGTTATTGCTCAGAACTATATTTGTCATACAATTACAGTATTTAAAATCACAGCTTTTTCCATTACAGCATATTTGTCAATCTATAATAACAAAGCAGCATGATTTTTGTTAAAACAGTATACCAAATAAGCCTTATATAGCCTTAAAATTGAGAATAAATTAAGGATCCTTTAAAATACCTCCTGACTACTAAAGGCATAAGCAGGACAACCAGAGAATTGGCAGTTTCAGAAAAAAGACCGCAATGACGGCCTACATATTTCTGTCTTGACAGGTTTCCTTTCAGAAAACATTTTGACATTATCTGACCACATTTCCTTACAGCACTTCCTGCACTCTTCATTTCTACTTTCTATCTTTCATTTGCTTTACTGTAAATATACCATGTCCTTTCCTTCTGGATTATCAGCCCTGCAACCAACTTCAACCTTCACAAGATTCTCAGGTTCCCTTTTATGTGTGTCTTCGTGGTTTCCTAATCTATTTTTAGCTGCAGCTTAATACTAACTGATTGATGTGTAATGCAGTTTACCATTTATGGGTTTCATTTCAGAAGCAAAATCTCATATCCAATTAGGTAGCTGTCACCCCAAATAGCCCAGGCAAGCATCCTCCTAATGTTCATGTGTAGCTGTCGGTGCTGCAGCTGAGCATACCCATCTTTGCCCTTGCTATGCCAGTATAAAAGTGTAACTGCCACTTGATTGCCAGTACATCTTGCATTCCTTATCCACATAGTTGTGAATCAGCAACTGATCAATAGAAACAACTGAACTGTACACTTGTCGCACTTTCACATGTTTTCCAAAGAGGGTCTTGGTAATGGCACTGAGATGGTTTTATTGCACATTGGACACGAGTTCCGCACCTCTAACCATTTCATGAGGCACCTGCAGAGAGCAAAAGCTGAGATTAATTAGAATTTAAACAAATGACTTCACTTGCAGACTACTTATTCCAGGTCAGTGACTCCAAAAGTAACTTGCATGTTCAGAAGGTGGTAATCAAATGCAGCATATCAGCATGATGACAGGTTTCCTTTAAAAGACAACTAAACTACCTTTTAGTAATGTTGTCCTTTAATAAACCCCTTCACTCTGCGTGTGCAGCCCACCTGAAAATATTTACCTTCCTTCCCCAATCCAGCTATCTATACTCTGACAAGGTCGTAGACATCCCTTCTTCATGATGCATTCCTATGGGTAAGTCATTCTGATGGCAGCCTCCAGCAGTAACTTGAAGTATGGCTTACCCGTAGGAATGAATGGGGCCATGGTGCATATGAAGTGTAGCCAACCAGGACAATGTTAGAGAAAAAATAGCTGTATCGGGAACAAAGCTAAGCCATATGTCAGATGGGTTGTACTTGGGAGCATGGGGTGATTTATTAAAATGACCCTAAACTCAGTCGGTGTTCAATCTTAAAAATGCATTCGAGTACCTTAACTACTGACACAAATGTTGCTTATTTGTGTATCACTCAGCTGTAAATCCTCAAATCATCTCTAAAGTCCTGCTGTGAGTAACCTACCTGATTGAATAGAAATTGATCTTTTAGAAAAGCCCTTACATTCTGTAATTTTAGAACTTCTGGCAATGCTTTTATTGCTGCCCATGACTTCCTCTCCTGGTGACAACAGCACCCCATTTCCCCTTGTCATAGAGACAGGCAGTAAGGGGAAATCTCTGCAGTGAGGTCAAAGGCAGAAATAAGAAACTTGACAGAAACCAAGATTCTTCTCCACTCTATCCAAAATTGTTGCTGGAGTTATCATGCAGAGGGACCTTATCTGCTTATTCTTGTAGCGAGCACTGCATACTCTTTCTAAATGGGACTTACTTTGTGTGGAAGGCGTGAGTGCAAGGACACAGTCCAAGTTCTTCCTTCACTTTAAAATCCTCGAGGCACACTGCACACACTTGCTGTGGATAAGAGAAAAACAATATGATATACAGGATTTATATAGCGCCAACAGTTTGTGCAGCACTTTACAAAAAGGGGATAGACAGTAACAATACAATTTCAGTACAATAGGGTTAGGAGGACCCTGCTTATGAGAGCTTACAATCTGGTAGGAGAGTCAAGTGATAGAAACGGTTATAATTGTTTAGATTGCGTTAGTGGAAGAAGTAAAAGGACAGTTATGTTTAGGTGGAATAAGCTTCCCTGAGATTTCAAGGATCGCTTAAAAGGTGGACAGAGTAGGAGATGAGCAGATAGATTGGGGTAGGGGGTTTCAGAGGATGGGAGACACTTTGAAGAAGTCCTGGAGGCGAGCATGTGAGGAGGTGACGAGAGAGCCGAAGGTCTTGGTAGAAGCAAAGGGGGTGGTTTGGGTGATATTTTGAGATGTAGTCAGTGGTAGAGTTGTAGATGGCTTTGTATGATGTTGTTAGTGTTTTGAATACTACTCGTTGGGCAATTTGTAGCCAGCGGAGAGATTGGCAGAGAGGAATTCATTAAAATTAATTTCTACCATTTTACTTGCTCTTTACTAAAAACTGATGTTTTTCCATTCTCTGTCATTTTAAGGAGGGGGCTGGCGAGTTAATATTTACCATAATTAACCCTGTCTTTACTGTGCTGGCAGATCTCATTGTCAGTTGTAAACTAGATTTGAACACTGGCTGCCCTAACAAAGGGTAAAAGATCGAGAAGCTTTGCATTGTTTGTGAATGAGAGGTAACTCGCTATGCCCCTACTTGTCTTGGGGACAGACACCCTTTGAAATTGTTCAGAGTAGCTTACATTCTGCTGAGAGGACTGCTCCAAAAAACCTCTTAAAAGGTAGGACTTTTTTTTTTAAATGCCTAGGTATGCCATGTGAATGGGAACACATAGTGGGGTTTTCTGAAGTTTCTGCACAAGTGGAAATATACTTCAGGAGGGCCTGATCCAATGAATTCTAGTGCATAAGAACTCACAAAAATGAGACCAAAGGTG